CAGAACTGACCTATACCTGACCCACCAGCAGTTTTCAGAGGCAGTAAATCACATGGGAGGAGACTGCTCATCTTTCTTCCTCAGAACAGCTAGTGGATTTGAACTGCATACCTTGGGATTGTAACTTAGTTCCTTACCATTAGGACGCCAGAGCTCCTTCAAAGCAGTGAATAATTGCCTCTGAAAACCCACTGGAGGGTCAGCTACGAGTCAGTTCCAAGTTGATGATACCTAACAACAACATTTTCCCCCACTGGTTAACAAATATGTGTTTGTTTGCCAAATATAAGTTTTTTCCAGGAGGGAGGGAGGGGAGATTTTGCCACCAGCTCCATTTCAGTCGCTTCACATTTCTGGTCTTGCAATCTCTTCCCGTCCCCATCCTACACCTTTCCCCCATTTTTTACTTAGACTTTCATTCTCTCCAGGATATTCTGAGCTCTTCACATAAAGGTCACAAACATATCTTCCTCTGGCGCCGCCTCCAGGCAGCCTTCCAGAACAGGACTGTTGAGATGTGGAGGAATCTGGGGGCGCATAGATGAATGGAAATAGATTTGGGCCCACTGTGGTGTGTGCGGGAAACTCTGATCTGGGTTTGATGAAAACTAATGTTCAAGTTTTAGTGTCACTGATTCCACCTTAATATCTGTGTGAATTTTAATAAATTGTCCGCTTGTTGAGAGAGCTGTGGTGGCCGAGTCTGGGAGGGGGTCATGTTGCTAAGCCGGAGGCAGCAATTCTCTGGTGGATTAAATCCAGCAGCAGCTCCGTGGGAGGAAGATGGATAATCTCCTCCCATGCGATTTGTTGTTGTTGTTGTTGTGTGCCATTGAGTCAGAACCCACCCATAGCTGACCCTCCAGCTGGTGTTCAGAGGCAGTAAATTGCATGAAAGTAGATTGCCCATCCGTCTTCCACAGAGCAGCTGGTGGAGTCAAACCACGTGCCTTTGGGATTATAGTGCAGATTCTTACATCCTTAGAAATCTGCTGGAACATCAGCTATGAGTTGGTTCCGATAGGACAGCAATGAGAAAGAGAAAGCTGACTGCTAGGGCCTCCGTCTCTGGTGGCACAAAAGCTAAATGCTCAACTGCTAACCAAAAGGTGAGTGGTTCGCACCCACCCAGCAGCTCCTAAGGGAACGACCTGGGGATTTGTGTCTGTAAGGATATCAGCCTTAGATAACCTTTGGGGTAGATCTGTCCTATCACATGGATGTTGAGTTAAAAATGGACTGCGGGGTGCACAACCACATCTACAAGGGTGTGAGACACAAATAAGGTGGTAGAGGAAGTGCAGCCAGCCAGCACAAATGCCCTGCATTCTGCCCGCTGCTCTTCCCTTCTCCTAGCCAGCTGTGGGTGAGGTCGGGCTGCGACGGTCCCTGCCCAGGGCCTGACTGGTTCTGGCTGGGGTAGGTGTCTGGTCCTGCCCTGCCCTCTATTCTTTGAGGAAGGGAATCTGGGGAACTGTCCAGGGAGGGACAGGGAAGGGAGGGAGGGAAGTTACTCCCCTGCTGGAGTGCTAGGCACCTTTCCAGGCCCTGCCACACATGACTTCCGTTTAATGCTCCCGTGCCCAGCTCTGTAGCGATCTGTGAATGGGTGAGTGTGTAAATGAATGGAAGTTCTACTGAGGAAGGTTCAGTGGGGTCATTAAATGCAGTGCCATGCATAAAGGCCCTGGCACCTGCCTGGCAGATTGCTGTTGTTGCTAGGTGCCGTCAGGTCAATTTAGAGTCGTAGCAACGCCAAAGGAGGAGTTGCGCTGTGGGGTTTCCAGGCTGCAGCGTCCCTGGAGCACATTGCCAGGCCTGACTCCCGCAGAGATGCTGGCTGGGTCCGAGCTGCCGACTTCCCGGTTAGCAGCCCAGCACTTAACCTGGCAGATAGCACCAAATAAATACTGCCCGCGCCTTAGCGACACAGAGCTGCTGTAATGGAATCAATATACTTAGAATAAAAATTGATTTAGAATGAAAAAAAGCCCAAGTTGTTGGTCCTTTTATTTATCAGCTCTCATGATCAAGTTTAACTTACTGGGAGTCAGTTTCCCCATATGCGAGACCTAGCTCGTAGCACCAGGGTACATTTTTTGTTGTTGTTACCAATTTTTTTTAATTAATTTTGGATTTCCATTCATTCATTGTTGTACTTCCCCCCCTGTCTACCCCTCCCCCTCAGTTCACTCTTCTCTTTGAAAAGTAAAAGAAAAATTCCTTCATTGGTATACAATCCCCCCGCCCTGGGTACACTCCACTATGGAGCCTTCATTCCGGACTCCAATGATAATCATAATACCCTATAGGGAGCCAATGGCAACTGAAAGAAAACACAGACAATTTAACTTTTAAGAAGGAGGTCAGAGCCCTCAACTTCTCAAGAAGAGCCCACATATCTGCTAGCTTCTCAAAGAACAAGTTAAGACAAACAGCCTTGGTTTTGAGTCCCCAAGCAAGCTCAGTGGTTCCGGGGACTAGCCCACCTCCCCACCGTGTCCAGGAACATTGTGTGAGGAGAGAATGACTTGGTCACATCAGCGCTTCCTCAGTTTGCCGAGTTTCTGCTCGTCGCGTGTGAGTGGTCTGCCGTCTTCATGTGATCATGGCACGAGTCTAAATCCCAGCACACAAGTCCCTCTCCATGGTGGTCTCTCCAACACTATGCACAAATAATAACCATGGAAATGCGGGGTGGGCGAGGACCACGTGGAATGTGAGGGAGCATTTTGGAAAAATATAAGGGATCGTGGCCTGTGATCTTATTGTTACTGTTACCCTACTACTGAGTCAATTTTAATTCTTAGGGCCCCCATGTCACATAGAAGGATAGTAGTGGAGGGTTTTCTGAGTTGAAATCATCATGGAAACAACATCAGGTCTTTGCTCTTACAGAAGAGCTAAATGGATTCAGACTTCCAGCCTTTTTGGTTATCAGCTGAACGCTTGACCATTCACACACCACAGTTCCTTATGAAATTATCACCGCCTCTCTCCCCATTGCCACATTCCATCACCCCTTCCCGATGCCCAGTCCCAGCTCAGCGTTCTCAGCATGCTCCAAGACAGATCAAACACCAGCGGCATGCCCCTGCCACATCCAGCCCCGCTCTTCTCACGCTGCCGCCACCCTCCCAACGTTGTTCATCTCTGGACTCTCCTGTGGCACAAGACTGACCCTCCCAGCTGCCTGGCCCAGCAACTCCGAGAGTCCATTAAAGCCCCAGTCCAGGCTTCTCTCCTTTTCAGTTAAACCATTTGACCTCGAGGCCTCAGCCCCTTGATCCCTGACTTACACGCATACCCTGTGAATAGAGTTTATTAGGAAAAAATAAGCCAGTTTTTGGTACAAGGCCTTCTCTACACTGCTCAGAGTCTAGCAGAAAAAGGAAGCAAGTTTAACCCAGTTTCATTCCCAGAGAAACTGGGGACAGGCTCATTTGGGGAGGAGGTAGCAGGCAACCCCAGCCAGGCTTCGGCGGCTGCTGATGCCTCACTCTGAGGAGTGCCCACCCCCACGGGTTCATAGCTCTTAGGGCTAATGCCGGGGTATGGTTCTCACCTCCTTACATCATGATAGGCCTCAGCCCCCATGGGGGAGGACCATCAAGAGGGATGATAGTTCAGTCCTCCCTGCTTGGAGCCCACATACCTCCTATCCCTCCAAGCTGTCAGTGTAGCCTCAACCTTGTCCCAACACACACACCTGCTCCACTCTAGAAAGCTCCTTAACTGAGGGCAAGTGTCTGGAAGGAGTCTTTGCCATCTCCCATGGGACCCCTGTGAGTGGTAATCGACTTGACCACTGGTTTTCTTTTCTGTACCTAGTTTGGTGGCTTATATCCTCTTCGAGCCATAGGGAGTGTCTGGCGGTGTAAATAGTTAATATTGACAGCTGCTAACTCAAGTTCAGCCAAAGTGCCTTGGAGGAAAGGCCTGGTGATCTACTTCAGAAAAATCAGCCTCTAAAGCTCCACGGAACACGGTTGTCCCCTGACTGAGCTGCCATGGTCAGAATTGCCTCAATGGGAGCTGGACTGTCTGTCTGTCTGTCTGTCTGAGTCAGAGGCCCCTTTAGTTGGAATTTTATGAAAAGCCAGTAGCCATGGACCCCACTTCTCCTTTAAATGCACGCTGGTACCAAATTTTTTATTTTGTTTTAGTGTCTCTAGAGAGAAATCTTGACGTCTCTAGCCCATGAAGACAAAACATTCCTGCTGTAGTCCAGCCACTTCCTTATGTAATAGAATGGAGGTCCAGAGAGGGGTGGGGACTTGCCTCAATTCATAGCAAATTAGCAGCAAAGCCCAGTCTGGAGTCAGGGGTCCTGACCACCCCCTGCTCCCTTCTGTGTCCGTCTCACTCCCCTCCAGATGATGTCCACCTCCCTTTTCTTCCATGGTCTCCTTCCCAGTCAGCCCTCTCCCAGGACCTAGAACAGATGCCAGTACACACAGTAGGTACTCGGTAAATGCAATTGTCAGGCCGGCTGGAAACTGGGCCACTCTATTTAGCTGAAAGGGCAGGGTAGTTGGGTTTGGTTCCAGGGACATGAGACAGAGCTGGGGCAGGTGGATGAGGGAGCACCTGCCATGTGAAGTCTCAGAGCTCCAGTCTGTCACCAAGGGAAGGGCTGGGAGAGTGTCCTCAGGCTGCAGAGCACGGGCCTTCAAGCACGTCTCCCTTCCTCTAAGTACCAAGGCCTTAGCTTTTAACACTATCTCAAGCCAGCTCTTCTTTCTCCTGTGCTCTGGAATCCATACTGGCTCCCTGGTGCGGCAGCATCAAATTCTGATCCCTGCCTCTCGTGCCTCCCTGGTCTCCCTTGCCTAGGACGAGCTTCTTTCTGCATTGGGATCATTGCCTCTGTCTTGTCTCCAGTTGATGTGTGAATGTGGGGCAATGGGAAGGCGGACGGGTCACTAGGGTATCTTCAGTTCTCCTGGGACCCAGGATGGGGGACCTTATTCTGCCTTACCGGTTGTCTCTGCCCCCAGGACTGCAGTGCAATGCATCTGTGGATCTCATTGGCACCTGCTGGCCCCAGAGCCCAGCGGGGCAGATGGTGGCTCGACCCTGCCCTGCCTATTTCTACGGTGTCCGCTACAACACCACAAGTAAGAAGGAGTGGGGGGGCCAGCACTGCTGGGAGGCGGGGCAGCTTGGGGAGAATTGGTGACATGTTGGGGGGTAGTGGAATGATGGTGGTGGTTGTGAGGATGATGATGACAGTGACGATAATGACACCCACCCTTCACCAAAAGCCAGCTCCTCTGCAGGGGGCTCTGGCCTCAGCACGGCTAATTCTCACACGCCTCCTGGAAGACACTATCAGCTCTTACGTAACTCAGCTCCTGAGGCTCAGCATGAAAAGGAACTCGCCCAGAGTCACGCAGTTACGAGGCCACGAAGCAGGAATTAGCATCTTGGTCTCTCTGACCCTCTTCTGTGTGGTTGAGAAACTTGCAGTCTGCTTGGACCAGAACTGCCCCAACAAGGAGGGGCAGGAATCCCGGAGCAGCTCCTGGACGCAGATCCCTGGTCTCAGGGAGGTAGTGGGCCCGCCAGCCAGGAGATGTGGGTCTGCGAGCAGGGGACTTGGCCCGAGGGTGGGGGTGGCGGTGTTAGGGGAGGATTGAGGTCTGTTCTGATATTTGATCTGCAGGTAAACACCTCACCACTCCTCTGGGCTTTGCAGCTCCTTGCTACACCACCCACCACCCTCAGAATTAATTTGCTGTCCCCTGCCAATGACTCATGGCCCCTGGTTATGAGAAAGCGACAGCTGCAGGCCAGGCTCTTCTCTGTCTCAGGGCGGCAAGCGCTCAGATCTCTGGGGTTGAGGGCCCTGGTGTGAGCTCGTGGTTCTGTTGTTGTTAAGCACTGAGTTAAACTAGCAGCTGACCCTCTCCCCCCCACCCCAGCAGGTTTTCAGGTAGCATCATGGTAATATCATGGAGTATTTAGGTAATATCATGGGAGAAGATTGTCCCTCTTCCCACTGCTCCACGCCCCACCTCCACAGAGCAGCTGGTGGATTCCAACTCTGTACCTCTGGGTTAGCAGCTCAAGTCTTTACCAAGCCACCAGAGCTCGGGTTCAGACAAGTGTGGCCTTGGATGAACACACATGGCAGGACCGTCATTCTCTGGTTTATAGTCTCCTCTTCCCACCACCTCCAGTCCTTGGCTCTCATGATGGTGAAAAGGGTCTGTTAGATGATTGTGGCTTTAGAATGGCTTCAGGCTCAAAACTCCCGAATTCCTTCTCTTCACCTGATAAACTGAGAGGTCTGGAGCCATGGAGGGGGCGTGGAAGGACCAAACCTGGGATGTGACTGCGATCCTTCCCTCGGGACCCCCTACAGTTGGGCTGGAGACTGCAGAGCGGCACTGCATGAGGGCCTGGAACCTCTGCCTGGCCTCTGAGGGACCTAGAGCAGAGGAGAGAGGCTCGGAAAGGAGTAGGGACTGAGGAGAGGGAGGAACGAAGAAAGAGGGGTCTACAAGATAGATAATTTAGAGGAGGGTGTGTGGGAGCACAGGCAGGTCACCCTCACCGAACTGACTCCATCTCCAGTGAGGAAACTGAGGCACAGAGCTGCTGAGAACCTGTCTGAGGTCACAGTGCCCTGACAGCAGGGTCAGAACCTGGAGAATCCGCACCCTCCTTCTCCTCCTCCTCTCCCTGTGCTGTGCAAGTCCTTCTAAGCTCTAGGACGGGCCAGTGCCTCAGAGGAAGTTTCTGGAAGGGGTCCCCCCACCCCTAGTTATACCCCAAAAGATAAAACCTCTGCTATTTCATTGATTCTGACCCATAGCAGCCCTCCAATGGGTTTCTAAAGCTATCAATCATAATGGGAGCTCTGGTGGTCTAAAGGGTAAGGAATTGCACTGCCAACCCCAAATCAGGCAGTTTAAATCTCCCAGCTGCTCTGAGGGACAAAGGTGGGCAGTCTCCTTTGGAGCGAGCTACAGTCTTCTCCTGGAAGGTCAGCTATGAGTCAGTTCCAACTCGACAGCAATGAATTGGAGGGTCGTTTTGTTTCTTAATGGATGGAGAGTCCTCCTCTTTCCCCAGCACAGTATTTGGTGGATTCGAACCACTGAACTTTCAGATAGCGGCGCAATGTGCAATGCACTATTCCACCTATGGTTCCTAGGGCCTGGCAATCCCACTTCCACACTAATTCTCATGCCTGGCCTCCCTCCTGCTCTCTAGCTGTCCCTGCCTCCAGTCCCAGACCTGACCCTGTCACACCCTGGCTCACAGTCAACCCATGGGTGGCTCCCTATCATCTATTCAACCCCAAGTGCTGAGGGGGGATGTGCCCAGCTCCCAGTGGTCAAGGCCATGCCAGCCTGCAGCCAGTCCTGACCACTCCCTCCAAGGTCTTTCCTTCTTGTCCCATAGGGTTACTTGAGATGCCCCAGATAAGCTTTTCAAGCCTTCGTGCTTGGGCACATGTTTCTTGGTTTGCGGGCTGCGCCTTTAATGGAAGGTAGGAGTCCTGCAGCAACAACACTCTCTAAGCCTCAGTTTCTCCACCCGGAGGAGGCTTGGGGGAGGTGCTCTCTGGGCTGCCTCACTCTCCCCTCCCTATATATACTTGGAGGCGAACTGACATGGTCCTGTTTCTACACGGTGCTGGTGGACGCCCCTTCCTGGTGCCCCAGCACATTGAGTAGGGTGCCCTGTACTCAGCAGCAAGTGGGAACCCAGAGTTGTACCTAATCATTAGGCACTAATTAATTCATTTACAGATGAGGCGCTGCCGGGGCTTGGAGGCCTCTCCTTCATGCCCTCCCTCCTGCTGCATCCGATGGGAAGCATTTCCAAAAATATCCCTTTTCCCGTGATTCTTTGGGAAAATCGCTCAGCTCAGCAATTAAAGCAAGGAGGGTGCATCCTCTCTGGCAGCGACTCCTGTTTGTGGGGCCCATTCACGTCCACCATCACCTCCCCCCTCCCCAACCAAGCCCTCTCCCTGGACCTCAACACAGTGTAGGGGACCCCAGGCTCCCTGCCCGATATATGAGGTGCCAGAGAGCGCACCGTCCTTGGGTGAGGTCAGGGCACTCCTTAGAGGCAAGGATGGTGCCTTACATACTTTGGGCATATTCTGAGGAAGGACTTCGCCTTGGCCTTGGAAAATTAGAGGGTCAGCGAGGAGAGGAAGACCCTCAATAAGATAAATGGCCACAGAGCCTGTGAGGATGGCCTGGGATCTGACAAGGTTCTCATCTTTCCATGCTTTGTACGTGGCATTGCTGTGTTTGTTGATACTGTTGTTATATATGCTATTGAGTTGGAACTGACTCATAGCTCACATTCCTTACGATTCAAAGAGGCTGTAAATTGCACAGGAAAAGCCTGATCATCTTTCTCGCCTGGAGCACCTAGTGGATTTGAACCAACTGCCTTTGGGTTAGCAGTGAAACTCCTTACCCCTAAGCTACCAAAGGGTTCCTATGAGTCAGCGTCTCCTTGATGGCCCCTAAGAACAATGGTGACAAGGAAGGCCTGGAGAAAAGCAGGCTCCTCCTATCATTTCCGTCTGGATCTCCTGTGATAAGAGTCTGCTGACATGTCCTGAGTCTTAGTGCAAAAGGACCCAAACCAAACCCATTGCCACTAAGTCATCTCAACTCTCAGTGACCCTAGAGGGCAGAGGAGGATGACCCCATAGGGTTTCCAGGGCCATCGTCATGATGGAAGCAGGTTGCCACGTCCTTGCACAGAGGGGCTAGTGAATTTGAACCTCCAACCTTTCACCTAGCAGCCGAGCATTTAATCACTGTGCCACCAGAGAGCCTGAATCTTACGTAAGGTTATGTAAACACAGCCCCAAGACAATAATAATAAACGTTACAGCATGCACCACAAACCAGGTATAGTTCAAGAGTTTTCCACATGCTACTAAAAATAGCCCGTTGAAGCAGGAGTTGTTGTTATTAAGACGATGCCTGTTACATAAAGTTTGCTAAGTGCTACAGGCAGTTTGCTATTGGCTACAGGTTGGTGTTTTGAACCTACTGAGCAGACCATGGAAGAAAGGCCTGGAAATTCACTTCTGTGAAGATGGGACCCACTGCCGGGTGGGGTCTGACTGCTAGCAACCCTCCGGGATAAGAGCAGAAGAGCCTCATAGGGTTTCCAAGGCTGTGACTCTTCACATAAGTGGACTGCCACATCCTTCTCCCGCAGAGCTGCTAGTGGGTCAAGACCACTGGCCCTTTGGGTCGCATTGGAATGCTTTAGCCACTGTGCCACCAGAGTTCCCTCCTTAAAGATTGTTGTTGTTGCTGTTGTTGTTGTTGTTGTTGTTATGTGCTGTTGAGTCACTTGCGACTCCCATCCCGATTATCCCAGTCACTCACTGAATCAATCCACCTCATAGAGGGCCTTCCTCTCCTGCGCTGTCCCTCCACCCTCCCAAGCATGATGTCCCTCTCCAAGGACCGGTCTCTCCTCACAACATGTCCAAAGTATGTTAGACGGAGCCTCAGAATCCTTGCCTCCAAGGAGCCGCCCGGTTTAAGATTACAACTTTAGAAAACCCAGCGATGTTCTCTTTTGTAACACATGGGGTCTCTGTGACTCAGAATCAACTCAATATTGCACAATGGGTTTTATTTATCAGATAAGGAAGCAGAGTGGTTTTGCGATTTGCACCAAGTCACACAGCTTAAGTAAGCGTTGGTGTCAAGATTTGAACCCCTGACTGTCTAGGTCTAAGGACGAAGCTCTCAACCACTGCTATGTGCTGCTTTTCTCAGGGCCAGGCCCCGCCCCATCCAGTTCCTCCTCCATCCAATCTCTGTCTCAAGTCCCTTTCTCAGCAACCTTTCTGAGCAGCCTCTGGTCATCGTCACTTCCATCTCAGGCACGATTCTGGATTCCCTGATTCCGCCTCTGCACCCCCCACCTCCCTGGAAGCCTGGGGACACCAGCAGCCCTCTGCTAGCTCAGCTCTCATTTAACAATTAGGAGAAAATCGAGCCTAAGGGCTCATCTCTGCCCAAGACTCAGGACCATGACTGGAAAGCCAGGCAGAGCTTTAAAAATCCATTTAGCTGATTCTCTTGCCGGCATGCCAGGGCAGGAACAGCTTCTGGCCGAGAGGAGAGGCAGCTGGCAGCCTTCCAGTGCTGGAGGCCTGGTCAGCTTCTTGGAGAGGGGCCTCCATCGGCCTGTGACTCATGCAGAGGGCAGCTCCAGGCTGTACAGCATGGAGACCCGAGGTACCCCTTTCCTTTAATAAGTGAGGAGTTGGGACAAGGGGCCTCTGGGCCAAGATCTCTCTCCTAGCACCACTATAGCTGATCCTGCCAAGCATCCCACCTAAAGACTCCCCCTTCTGGTTCTGTCCTTGGCCGGCTTCAGGCTGGGACCCCAGGACTCTGGTGGTCCACATGGATGCAATGTGAGCGCCAGGGGACCACAGGATGTTCCACAGTGAGGAGGCTGCAGTGATCATGATGGCTCAGACCGCGGTTCTTTTCGCACTGGGACCACGTAGAATCAGGGCTGGAAGACGCATGAGGAGGCCTGTTCAGGCTGCTGATGCTGCTGGGGAGGTTTGCAGGGTGGGGTGGGGTGGCCTCAGCTGGCACTGGAGGAAAGACTCAGAATTTTATACCCCTTCACTTCCTTCTCTACCAGAATCTGGGGAGAAGGAAGGTGGGTGAGAGGGATCCTGTGGGTAGCTCTGCTTCAAGGCTGTTGGTTCCCTGTGCTGACCACCAAGTATGGTGGCAAGAGTCAGGGTCCTACCAGCAGGTGCTGACCAGCCACCATTTGTCCTTCTGGCAGCCAGTGGGCAGAGAGAGGCAGGAAGATTGGGACATTAGGGAAGCCCCTCTCGCAAACTTCATGCTGATCTAGGATGGATGGCAAGATGGACAGATGTCCAGTGCACTCCTCGCGAGAGGATCCTTGGTCAACCTGGGTCTCTTTTGTTTGTCCAGATAATGGCTACCGCGAGTGCCTGGCCAATGGCAGCTGGGCTGCCCGCGTGAACTACTCCGAGTGTCAGGAGATTCTCAATGAGGAGGTGAGTCCTGTGTCAGAGTCCAGCCTTAGGCTGGGCATCAGAATGAAGGGTATGGGTGGAGGTAGCCATGCAGCTTAAAAAGCATGTGCAAGTGTTTGAGATGAAATGACATGCCTAGGATCTAAAATGCAAAACGTATAAATGGGAATACAGTGAGAAGGCTTCCTGTCACTGGATCGGTTCCCTGGCCAGAGACCATCCTGTTGTCGATTTCTTCTGAGTCCTTCCACAGATACGCTGCATAGATAAGTAGTCAAGTGTATGTATTCTTTTTACGTTTTACCCAATTATTACATACCATGTACACTATTTAGCACCATGCTCTTTCCACAGAACCATCTATCTTGGAAATTGTTCCATCTTGGTACATAAAGAGCTTCTTCGTTCTTCTCCACATTTGCATAATACCACACTGTACGGGTATACCATAATTTGTTTAACCAATCTCTATTCCCAGTCTTTGGTGACTCCAAACAGTGCTGCAATGGATAATCTTTTCAGGACGACATTTGGCAGGTGCATGAGTAAATCTGTCAGCCTGGGGCTGCTGCGACCCCTGGCTCCCTGTGTCTGCCCCCCTGTCCTCCAGTCTACCCTCTGATGGACGCTGAGGAAGCTGGGGACCATGGAGCTGTAGGAAGGAGTGACCAGAAAGCAAAACTAGGGCAATGCTTAGCTGCTTTCTGCTATTGCTGCTTCTGACAGGATGGGGGCAGTATTTGGGGTGCAGGTGAGGGGCTTTCTGACATCTCAGATAACCCAGGTCAGAATCATGTGGTCATCCAAGGCGGAAATGCATCAACCAAGCTCCTCGAACTCCTGACCCTAGCAAAGATAGCCTCCAGGTTCCTGGTACCTGCACAGTGGACCAGCCTGACAGGCCTTGGAATTGGGGAGATGTATCCCCTCTGCTATTAACAATCTGCGTTATGCAGATGATACAACCCTGCTTGCCAAAACTGAGGAGGACCTCATGCACTTGCTGCAGAGGGTCAAGGACTGCAGCCTTCAATATGGACTGAGGTTCAATGTCAAGAAGACAAAGATTCTCACCACTGGACCAATTGCTGGCATCAGGATGGATGGTGAAAAGATTGAGATTGTTCACAGCTTCAGTTTGCTTGGCTCCACAGTCTACACTCTTGGCACCAGCAGCCAGGAAATCAAAAGACGTATCGCGATGGGAAAGTCTGCTGTTAGGGACCTCTCTAAAGTACTCAAGAGCAACGGTGTCTCTCTGGAGACTAAGGTGCACCTGATACAGGCCATGGTCTTTGCAATCACTTGTTATGCATCAGAGAGTTGGACAATGACTAGGGAAGATAGAAGGAGAGTTGATGCCTTTGAGCTGTGGTGCTGGAGAAAAGTATTGAATGTACTCTGTACTGCCAAGAAAACAAACAGATTCATCCTGGAGAGGGTTAAGCCAGGCTACTCCTTGGAGGCAAGGATTCTGGGGCTTCGTCTGACATACTTTGGACATGTTGTGAGGAGAAACAGGTCCTTGGAGAGGGATGTCATGCTTGGTAAGGTGGAGGGACAGCGCAGGAGGGGAAGACCCTCTATGAGGTGGATTGATTCAGTGACTGAGGTAATCGGGATGGGTGTGTCAGAGGCCATGCGATTGGTACAGCATAGAGCAGGGTTTAGGGCTGTTGTATATAGGGTCGCTATGAGTCACAAACGACTCGATGGCACATAACAACAACAACAACAACAACAACAACAACATCCCCTCTGCTGAGGGGAAGGTAGTGAAAGTTCCATGTTATCCAGGCCAGAGGAGATGGGCTTGAGTAGGAAAGGCAAGAAGACCACGCAGGTGAGTTGGTGCCCCGTAACCTGGTAGCTAGCAGAGAATATGGGCAGGAAGCAAAAACGACTTCTGTTCAGAAAAGCAGGTCAGGCCCACAGTTGTGCCCAGAGCAGGATGGTAACAGGAGGAGACGGGGGAGGCAGAGCTAGACCAGGAGTCAGCCCCCCACGGCTCCCACCATATGCTACGATGGACCTGCTGAGCTGTCAGAATCTGAGGCCAGCGATGCAGCCGCACCTGGAGGTCAGGTGGCCAGCTCCCTGCAGGAGGACAGACAGCCCTCTCCGCGCCCCAGAGGCAGGCATCTGTCCCCTTCCCGCACAGCCACAAAACTGGAAATGCCAGAATATCTCCCAACCCCCATCCCTAGATTGGATCTTCTGAATGTCAGAGGAATATTGCCGTGCTTCACTCTAATCTCTCCTGCTCCAGTTTAAGCCCCCTTTCCTTCTAGTTGAAGTATCAATGCACACGCGTGGGTGTGCGCGCGTGCGCACACACGCACATACATGATGGGAACACAGCTCCCCTTCCCCACAAACATCCTTCTTTTTTTTTTTTTTTTTTCTTTTTACATTACCTTTTTTTACAAACATCCTTCAAAGACTCCAAAATAGTAGTCTTCTATCCTTTAGCCTCCCTTGCTCCTTTCACCGCCTTTTTTAAGGGTGAGAAAACCAAATGGGGAGCCTCCACTGCTTCTAGGCACCGTTCATGGCAGTATCATGGGGACAGCATGAGTCAAACAGTTTGGGGTTTAGGGTTCTGGTTCCAGTACCTCCGTGCAGTATAACAATGGACAGTTAATTTAACCTCACTGTCTCAGTGTCCTTACATGACAAACCACCAGGAGTAATACAGACCACCTCCCTTGTGATTGACAGCTTTGGAATCCAGTGGTGAGTCAGCTATGAGTTGATTCCAACTCAGTGGCAGAGAGAGACTCCCCATTGGATGGGAGGATGGCTCTTCTCCGGAATGTGGAGGGTACTCTATCCGTTTCCCACCCCTCTGTCTCTATCTCTAAGGAGCTCTGGTGGCATAGTACAATTGTTGGCCTGTTAAGCGGAGGTCAATAGTTCAAATCCATTAGCTGCTCCATGGGAAACCCATGAGGCCATTTCCTTCTGTGAAGGTTTACAGCCTCAGAAACCTGAAGGAAGGTTGTCATGAATCAGAATAGATGCAACTCAACAGGTTTGCGTTAGGTACTTTATCCCTGCTCACCCATGAGGTCAGGGTGCACCGGAAGTGTAGGGATCATTGATGAGACCACAGGGAACTCGTGCACCCACTTCCTCTGGGTTGTGACAATGTGCAGCTACCCACAAATCCCTCCATTATGCTGTGGCCAGATGCCCGCTGACCACCCTCCACCCCCATTTGACCCACCTCTGCCCCCTCTCTCAGCGGTCTCTGATGGAACAGTTGCTTAGCATTGTAAGTAACAATTTAATTTGTGAAAATCCATCCCCTTCTGTCAGCCCCCAACCTCACCAACCCCTTCCCCACTCCCTGGCCTCCTTCTGAAACTGCAAAGAGGAAAGTATACAATTAATTGGGCAGCCATTTCTCTGCTCTCAGGCCTGGGCTAAGCCCTAATTAAGTGCCCGCGCCCTGGGGTGTTGCATATAATGGATTTGCAGAAATGGCTGCTTGTAAAATGGGACTTGCCAGGGAGTCCTGGAGGTCCCAGGACTTGGGAGAATTCTTTAGCACTGTCACCACCAGAAAACAGGCTCCAAATTGGGGGCCTAGCTTGTGTGCTGACCCCAGCGCCATACTGCACCTGCCTCCACTCTCTGTATCAGCCCCTTCATACCTGTCTCTCTCCACTACAGTCACCTACCCCAGCGAGTGTCTGCTTGACCCTCAAGAAATGCTTTTAACCCTGCTTGTCCCTCAAGGAATTCCGTCTAGGGGCAGGGATGGGAGGAACTTTAAAGCAGGCAGACCAGTCAAGTCCACAGGTGGCTTGGACCAATTATTCAGACTCTTCAACTGGAAAAATAAGGGTAAAAGACCCAGTCTCAGAGGGCACTTGTGAATGAGAAAAAGGGTGAGCACCTGACACAGGACCAGTGTATACAGTGGGTGCTCACTAAATGACTCCTTACCTCGAGCTCAGCGACACAGCCACAGTCTGATGGGGCCATCCCTTCAGGGGTGGTGGGTGGCAGTGAAGGGCCCCCTCCACCACTGATCCTGCAAACATGGGCCTTGTAAGGGAGCTGGGACTTCACGCCGTCCTGGGCTCCACAGATGTTGTTATTACCCAGGGGCTTCTCAGCATGGGCTGGTGGAAAATTTAATAAAAGGAAATTAAGTGCCAGCTCCAGACAGGCTGTGATGTGTGCATCTTCAGCAGTTCTGAATTTTTGGCATCTGCTGCCGGCTTCTCAGTGACCCTCGCATTTGCTGGGGCTGGGTGTGGGGGTGGGGTGTGTGTGTGTGTGGATCTGTTCTCCTCCCCTCCTCCTCACATTTCTGCCTCCTTACCTCCTGGTCTCCCTATCTATCTACCTTCTCTCTCTCTCTCATCTCTTTCTCCCTTCATTTACATCTCCCTGAGGCCCAGTCAAACAGTCCTGACAGCATATTCACTAAAGCTGCTGGTTACTAACCAAAAGATCAGTGGTTCAAACCCACTAGCTGCTTCCAGAAAGAAAGATATAACAGTCTGCTTGTGTAAAGATTGTTGTTGCATACCATGGAGTCAGGACAAACTCATCGCTGACCCTCCAGTGGGTTTTTAGAGGCAGTCAATCACACAGGAGAAGAGAGAACAGAGTTCTCCAGGCCTTTTGGAACCGGGAAGTCTTTTAGTGGTGATACCGCTTTTGGAATGGGAAGTCGGGGAAGGGCTCTCCATTCTGGGATGCCTGCTGGGTGTCTCTTTTGTCCTTTGGTGGATGTTATTGCTGTTATGTACTATCAACTAACTGACCCGTAGCTGGTGGTGAGCTCGGAGATGATCACCGACCTACACTGGCTAAATTTAAAAGATAAGTTTCCTCATCTGGAAAACGAATAAAGTTGGACTTGATTTCTTAGGACACGGCTCTGATTTTCATGGACTTTGTAACTTCAGCAGGAGGGTCCCTAAGGAGCCAGGAGCTTTGGGAGCTCTGAAAGAATGAGTCAGACTTTGGAAAACTCAATCTATCTTTGACTTGGACTTTGC